TGTTGCCACTAAGGAGATGATTATCACACTTGTCACCAACTCACCCCTCGAAGATGAAATTGTAAAAAATTTAAAGGGGTAGGAATTGGCTTGTTAGATTTCCTTTTACTTGTTTTTCTTTTGACAGAAGATGCTCATTTTGCAATGTAAGAGCTATCGAGAATATTGTATAAGTTTTTCATGAATAGAACATCTTTCTTTCCCAAAAAGAGTATTTACACAATATGTTAATATTACAAAAGGGTTTTTAAAAGATGTTACTTCTTGAAATGGGAAATGTACTAAGTCTTAGGAATGTTTGACATGCTTATGGTCTAGAGTCAGTACATCTTTGGTTAAGCTTCTTTTGAGATTTGATATGACCTTTCCTACATTAGTATTAGCTTGCCTCTTATGTGGGTCACTAACTTCAACTTTTCTTAAGGTCAAATCTCCTTCCTTTATTCGTCGGAGATGAACCTTTGCAATGCCTTAGCCACGTATTATTGGTAGGCTAAGTTTCTCAAATGGATTTGGGTTCTTCATTAATTATATCTAAGTTGGCTCTGAGATCGAGTTTTGTGCCATCCTCGGAGAAATATTGAGTTCGAATGGTTGACAAGATTAACTCAATTGGGAGCATGACTTCGATACCATAGGTAAGGTGAAATGATAATTCCCCTATAGAAGCTTTCTGAGTGGTTCAATAACTCCTTAGAGTACTCAGGAGTTTGTCCTCCCATAAGCCCTCAAAATATTTTTCTTCATACTTTCAAGTATTACCCATTTAGTGACTTCAACCAAGTCTTTGGTCTGGAGGTGTGCCACCGAGCTGAATCTCGAAGGAACTACTATTATATGAATTTAGTGTTGTTGAATTATATCCCGTTATCTATGATTTTTGCTTGGGCAACCCCAAATCATGAGACAATATTTTTCTGAATATAACCCTCAACTTGTTTTTTTTTATATTGAGACTAGGGGTTCAGCTTCGACCCATTTGGTGAAATAATATACCCCTATAATCAACTGTATCTTTTGCCCTGAAACTAGGGGAAAGAGTCCCAGAATGTCTAAGCCCTATTGTGCGAAGAGCCAAGCTCTGTCATGTCAACTTGACCATCAAAAGGTTATACACTTGAGTATTGCGTTGACATCGATCACAACGTCGGACAAAATTCGTAGCATCTATTAGGTTGGCCAGTAGTACCAAAGTACCTTAAAGGTAAGGGATCTTGCTCTAATATGCTCCTCACATACTTCATGGATCACGGATAGGACTTGAGAGGCTTCAGTAGGATGGATACAATGAGAGGATATAATAATGATCATCTATAAATGACATCATTTAGAATATAGCACCATGCTTATTGCCTCTAAATCTATCTTGCATTGGTTAAATCGTTAGGCAAGCCACCAGTCTTAAGATACTTTCAAATACCACCCATTTGGGTAGTTTCTATCAAAGTGACTAAAATTTGATCTTTGTTGATACTTTTGATGGTCTAATGTCATTATTATGATTCCTTTTGCAACATTAAAGTACACCTTTCGGGAAGGTTTGGAGAGAGTATCAACCATTATGTTTTTGCTCTAAAGGATAGGTTATTGGGCTTTAGTGAGGTAGGCTGCCATGGTTGGTTCATTGGTGATGTTTTTGCTCTAAGGGATATCATATATTGGTCATTGGGCTTTGGTAAGGTAGGCTGCCATGGTCGGTTCATAAGTTTAATACATATTATACACTTGATTGACAACTAGCTAAGAGTCACAGAAAATTTTTAAACTTTCAATTTTCATGCTTTTATCTAGCTTGAGCCTAGTTAATAAAGCTTTGTATTTAACTTTATTGTTGGTCACTGTAAAGCTGAATCAGAGTGTATGTTTATAGGCCTCTCCATCAGGACCTTTAAGGACAAGACATGCTCCCTCATTCGTTAGTGTTATAGATCTGTCTACATGGAGAGTCCAGTATTCGATCATCTCTAAATCCTCCTAGATAAGAGTCGTTTCTGTTATAAAATACATCAAGGCTTGGGCCTTAATTGTAGTTCAAGGCCTCTAAGTGATGTCAAACTTGTTGAGCTCAAGTGCTCATTTAAAGAGTCTAACCAATGCATCTGACTTAGAAAGGATCTAGCACATTAACTGGTTTGTCATGGCAATGATATGATGAGCCTAAAAGTATGAGCGGAGTTTCTTGGCTACGAGCACCAACCCATAGGTGAGCTTCTCAAAATTTAGGTATATGATCTCTTCATCCTGAAGTACATAGCTAATATAATACATGGGCCACTATATTTGAGTCTCTTCCCAAATCAATAATGAGCTCATAGCTATCGGAGTTTTTGATAAGTATAGATATAGTTCCTTGCCTAGAAGTGGGCTAGAAAGTTGGGGAGGCCTGCCAAATAATTCTTAAGAAAATCAAAGGCTGCTTAGTACTATTCAATCCATAAGTAATCCTTTGGGCATTTCAAGTTCTTGAGGAATAGTAAACATCGTTCCTCGATTCTAGATAGGAAATGACTAAGTGCAATGATATAACCGATCAACTACCGAACTTGTTTGACCAAAGTCGATGGCTTCATATCTATGACAACTAAGATTTTCTCTAGATTAGCATCTATCTCTCACTAATGAATCATGAAGCGAAGGAATTTCTCAAAGTTTACACTAAATGCACACTTAATAGGTTTCAAGTACATTTGAAATTTTTTATATTTGCGAAGGTCTCCACCAGGTTGAGTAAGTGAGTCTTTGTAAAGTGACTCTTCATGAGCATATCAGTCTAATATATTGTTGAAATATCTTATTGGTCATTCTTTGATATGTTGCTATAATATTTTTAAGGTTAAATGACATGACCCCATAATAGTAAAGCCCCCTACTAGTTATAACTCTTCGTCATCTCGTGCCATTTTTATTTGATGATACCTAGAAAACACATCCATAAATATTAGCAAGTCATGTCCAAATGTGGCATCAATAATTTGATCAATTCGGGGGAGAGGGAAGCTATCTTTCTGGCATGTCTTATTAAGATCAATGTAATCAATATATAATCTCTACTTTTTATTATTTTTCTTAATGAGGATTACATTTGTAAGCAGATAGTTGATCTCATAGATAAAGTTGATATATAATAATTTATTAACTTCTTCAATCATTGATTATTGATCAGTCATAAACCTTCGAGACTTTTATCGTATCGCTTGATGTCTTGAATCAATGTTGAGTCGGTGTTGAGCCAAACTTCAATCAATTCTAGCCAATCACTTAGCTAGCTCCTTTCTTTTTGGTCAAATAGGGTGACTCCAACCTTAATCGAGTGCTTCGAGCATCAATCATTAAGAAGATTCTCCTCTGATGGCTCTCCTACCTTAAGATGTGGGTTAGATGGAGACGGTCCATGTGGATCTATCTATTGGATTGAAAGTGCTATTTTATTTGGTAGAGTGACTGATTTCAAATAACATTATCTTGACTCGTTTGGATCACTCCTCAGCTCTCTTATTTCGAAGCTTGTAGAAAATTTAAGTGTCATGTGTTAGGTTGATACCATGACTCATATACGATTGAGAGTGGGTCATCCAATAATGACATTGTATACAAAAAGAATATCTACCATTAGAAATTTAGTTTTTATTATCTTCGAGTAGTTCTTGAATCCAAAAATTATATAGAGGCCTATAGTACTTAGTGGGGTGATGGAATCTCTAATGAACCTTATTAGAGTAGAGGAAATAAGCTATAGATATTTGATAATTAGGTCGACTTTTTGGAAGGCGTCATAGTATAAGATTTCGATGGAGCTTCAAGTACCGATCAAGATTCTCTTCACTAGTGCATTGGTGATTTTAAGGGAGATCACATTTGTCATCATGCTTAGGGTCAAGATATTTTTCTTCTTGAGACAATCAATTGATCCTTGAACATGATCGATTGATCTCCATTCAGACATTGCCTTTTGGATTAGGATTTTTTTGCATAAGCCTTTCTGATAGATGCATTGCTACCCCCTATGGCGAGCCCTCCGACAATTACATCAACCCGCTGCTCAATAGGTCCACAGGGCCTTAGCGAAGTTTTGTGGACCATGGGAAGGAATATGTTGAGATGCCCTTTCTAGATTAATTCTTCTTCCTTCAGGGCAGGGCATGATAGTTCTCAGTATCATTCTCATGATCATGATGAAATCGATAATATCTCATCATATTTCTCCTTATCGATAGTGCTTTTAGTGGTCGTGAGGTTCTTAATAACACTTTCCTGGATTTGCATGAAAACTTTGGTATGGGAAGCGTTTAAGGGTGTAAAATCTCCTCAAGCGGCATTTTATCACCTCGTGGCCTATCTTTCCTTGGCCTCTCTATGTGCTTCCAATAAAGATTCTCTTCATCTTTGACTGTTTTTTTTAGCTCAACCTTCCTGTTACCAACTATGATTGACTCTGTAATAATATGTTAGTTGACTTCTTATAAGAATTGTAAGAATGTTGCTAGTGGTTGTGTTATGACTTTGTCGAAAAATGAGAGGTCGCTTATATAAGTATTGATGAGGATTGAGAGAATCAAATTAACCGGTAGTCAAACTATCTTGTTGAATCTTTTAGTGTAGCCTTTAGTGATTCTGTTTATATATATATATATATATATATATATATATATATATATATATATATATATATATCTCTCCTAAAGTTCAACCAGACTAAAACATTACATTTATGCAACTCCGAAGTATTATTAGCACTATATTTCTTTAACATTATCAGCATCATTATGTGAAGAAACATTACACATAAATCATCTATGCGTTTTCTGATTGGACCGGTTATGCGTTCAAGCCGGATCGAACCGGTTCAGTTATGCTATTTATAGTGGTAAATGACAACACGGATCCGGATCCGCAATACATAAAACCGACAACTGATCCGGAACACAGAAAACGGATTTGACCCGATAACAACACATCTCCCGCAATGTTCTTTGTCACCGGGAAGTCCAAACCCGATAAACTCGATTGCAGGGACTGCCGTCGATTACTCGCGCCCGATACCAAAACCCTATCGCGGGCGACTTCCGCCTCGTCGTCGCCGGCGCCCCGATCAGCGGCACCACCACCGCGCCCGCCGCTCGGTTCTTCCGCCAGATCCTTAGCTCTACAATTAAGATAAATATGGTGTTTTTGGGGCCCTCTTAAATGTTCCTCTTTTTCTCCTTTTGCTTATCAAGCAGCTAAGTGATGAATAGTGGATCGCATGCACGCGGTTGATCTCCCGTCTTCCTCTGCTGCCCAAATCTTATTTCTGATCGGATATGTGAGCAAGCAAAAGCATAGAAAGAAATTTTGGTTCTTATCTTTCTTTAATCTTTCCTTTTCGTAAAATAATTCCGTGCTACATTAACGACTTAGTATATTTGAGAAACTCCCGTTGATACCGTGGGTAAGAGATAGCAATTTGGAGTAACTGAATAGCCATGACTCCTGTTTCTCTCTCTATATATGAATATTATAGAGTTGGGAACATTTGATGCCAATTTATACTCTATAATAAACAAATTATTTTAAAGAGTCTTAATTAAATTCAAACTCCTTGATGGAGTACTATTTAGATTAGACTAGAAATTCAAGTCGGAAGAGTCCTTAGGATTTGTTCCTATAAATACACATTGAGTCTCAAGGTTTTGGCGAGAGGGATTACCTTTTTGGGTGCTCTTGAGAGTTCTTCTTTAGTAGATCTAAAGAAAGTTGAGAGAAGAGTTCTTCGGATCTATGAAAGTTGAATAATTAATTTTATATATTGAAAATTTTGATTTTTTCTGTAAATATAGGCAAGGGAATTGTTGAACCATGTTACATCTTGGTTGTCTAGTATGTTCCTTATTTGTTGATCTTTGGGTTTTCTTTTGATCTTTTGGATTTCTTTTCTCCCTCCCCAACACTAAAATCTGATATTTTTTAGGACCAGTGAGTTTTTCTTAGTGAAAGCCTTATAACTTCTGTTTTTCAATTGTGCAGGTTTTTTCTTTTCCTAAATAAATAGAAGAACACACAGCAGTTGTTAGGAGGAGCTTGTGTGTGTGTTTTGTTTATTTCTTTAAAACAATGGATGCTCTGGGATCAATAATTGGGACTAGGCTTCCTTCCCCCACAAATTTCATCAATATGTCATCGAGATGTATGACAATTAGATTGGCATCTCAGGATGCTCTCTCTCGTTGTTCAGTCACATATAGGAGCCACATACTCGCAAAAGCATCTCCTCCTTCAAAAGTGGTGCTGCAGAAAGCTGGGAGTAAATATCAGGGCTTGGGATGTAGATGTAGTGCTTCCGAGACAGTGAGCTGCATGACAAATGATCACACTTCACAAAAATCGACTCAGAGGAAAAGATTGGCAGTTTTTGTCTCTGGTGGAGGTTCAAACTTTAAAGCTATCCATGAAGCAACCAAGCAAGGATTAGTTCATGGAGATATTACAGTTTTGGTCACAGATAAGCCTGGTATGTTTTGTTTTTGGACATTTGAGGTGGTTGCATGGAAGAAATTGCTTGTATTGCTTTTGCTCGTAACATATATCTGCAGCTTTTTTTTTTTTCTGTTTTTCCTCTCTTGGTGATTATTTTTGTCTTTTCTACTTGGCATTGCTCCAATTATTTATTGCTTCTAGTTATTTGGATTTTCTGACTGTACTTTGTTTTCCACTCGATGTCAGTAGAATGCTCACAATTTCCTTCTCTTATCAGAACTGCTCGTTGTTGCAGCAATATCCTAGTGGGGTACCATTGTTGCAACATTTTTGTTCTTGCAACTGAACTACCTTGTCACAAACATAATTAATTGTTTAGTAATAAAATGTTAATAGACTTGCACGAACCATAATAGTATGTATCCATTGATAACGCTACTCGATCATAACAAAAAAAGTGGAAATGAGAAAATGGAATGTAATCTGTCATTGGAAATTTGGCACCTGACTAATCACCAAAGACACTTGTTGCTTTTTAGCTTAACTGGTTCATGCAATCATTATAATGTTCTTTGAGGAAAAAAATTTGCAAGTCTGTTAATTTTTCTGGCAGGTTGTGGCGGTGCTGAATATGCAAGAGATAATCTAATTCCAGTTGTTATATTTCCTGGATCCAAATCCTCACCTGATGGTGTCTCAGCATTTGAACTTGTAGCAACCTTAAGGTGAATATTCTTGTTGCAATCTTCTTTCTTGAATTCTAATTTAAGCATCAAATGAGGTTTGGTCGGAGATATTTCCAAACTATCTTCCCTTTATTTATACCAATTTCATTGCGAAATAACTCTTTGTTCTCCATATTTTTTTCTTTTTATTGAGTTTCTAAACTTGTATTTTCCTTTTTTAGATCTGATATATTTGGGTTTAGTTCTGATATAACTCATGGTACACGTTATCATTCCTCGAAATGAATAAAAGAACAATGAATGACATAAACCAATTACAAAAATTTAAGATGTCATTTGCATTACATGTATTTTTAATGTTGTTCAACTATTGTTAGACCCATATCTACATGTGGTGTTCATAATTATGTTTCCTTCGAGAAAGAAGATTATGGATGTAAACTTGATACATGATTGTTTGAAATTTGAGGAGGCAAAAACTATAAAACTTTGAGACTCGCTGTGGTTTGAAATTGAGTTTCAATTCGACCTAATTGATTCCTATAAAATACCTTAAATCAATCAAGAATAAAATAAAACATATATCCATTTTGATAAGCATGTATAGTCTCTATATCGATTGATCGAGTAGGAGGATCAATGTCACCTCTATCTTCAGAGACATCTTCTGGAATCCACCCAAAGGGGCAAAATTGTGTAGGGTCCATCTCAAATAAGATAATTCCTCATGAGCTCTCATGCTTATAATGGTGAAAACAAAAGATAACTTATCATATGGTGCCTAAGAGGCCTTAACACCCTTATTGTGGATATACTAATAAACACATTTAGTTCCATATCAATAATGGAGTAGGGAACCAATGTCTTATAAAAGCCGAAGTCACTCGCTATGGAACTTATGGATTCCAAAACCTACTCTTTTGAAGCTAGACTAAACCTCAACTTGATCGATGAAACTCATACAAGAGCACATCTATGTAGCTTACTTACAAACTTTCTATGGTACTTCATGAGGTCTAACATCCCCAACCAAGAGTGGGGGGATTTAGTTTTACACAAAGCTACATTAATGATCCCACTCATTCGGAAAATTCACTCCTAACTAGGAAGAACTATGTCTAACTCACACTTGTGGATTCCAATTACTTCTCAGAACCAATCGTAATAAAAAGAATTATATTTTTATTCAACAAAAAAAAACTACAGTATGTGTTGGGATCCCCTTTGCTCCTAGTCAACAGTAGTGGCTTCCGTTTCAGTACCGTTGGGCTCCTCTTTGACCATGGTCCCTATTGCCTCGTCCCTCAGCACTCCCTCAACTTCCCCCCGTGTTCAATGGCATTGGGCCATCATTGGTTATAGTTGGACTCAAGACTTAAGGCCATCATTCCTGACCAATACGAATTGGTTGTCCAACAAGCACTGATCCCTAGGGTCTTTAGGGACCACCAAGCCTGGATGGTTGTGGAGGACTCCAGAAATCCTCAGTTTGTACCCGTAGTTGAATTTGTTGAACCTCAGCTGGGTGATCTCCTTAATGAATCCCCTCTACCTCTTGTACTTGGCAATCCCCTCCACCTTGTAGTCGGTTGGCATGCTTGTTCGGCCTGAAGGCACTTCTAGAGATCCCCCACTAAGCATTTGTGGTTGTTATTCTTACCTTGGGCCCTCAGTAAAACAGAAGTGTTCATAACCTAGGTCACTATTTTCGCCTATTCTTGAGATTTTTGGTTAGATTTTGGATGCTTTGCCTTCCTTCAAACATTGCCTTATTGATTGTAGGAAATTTGAGGTTGACTTTCTTCTGCTTGCTGGTTACTTGAAGCTTATACCCATCGAATTAGTTCAGGCATTTCGAAGATCCATATTAAACATTCATCCATCCCTTCTTCCAGCTTTTGGTGGTAAAGGTTTTTATGGTTTAAAGGTGCATGAAGCTGTCATAGGGTCCGGGGCAAGGTATGTGAATAGCTTCCTGTTCCCCAAATAATTACAAACGGAAACCATTTTTACAACCTTTCACTCTATGTTCCAATCTCTATGTGGTGACTTTGTTTTACAATCTGCAGGTACTCTGGTCCCACAGTTCACTTTGTTGATGAACAGTATGATACTGGTCGTATCTTGGCTCAGAGAGTAGTGCCTGTGCTAACAGATGACACCGCCGAGCAGCTTGCAGCAAGAGTCCTTAGCCAGGTTATCAAGTAATTTATTGTTTTTAATTGAATATTCAATCAGATGATATCAGAATTATGTTTTCTACTAGCCAATTTAACTTAAGCAAGAGCAATGGCTCTTTGTTTCTACCATGAAAAAAGAACATCTGTCGCTATGTCAATACTCAGCAGTCTCCTAATGATAGTTAAATCTTTCATTGCAGGAGCATCAAGTCTATGTGGAGGTAGTAACAGCTTTATGCGAGGATCGAATTGTTTGGAGGGACGATGGAGTCCCTCTTATACGCAGCAGGGACAATTCAGATAAACTTTACTAGTAGAACAGTAGAAAGTGTTGCGTTTAGGATTGTTGATATTCTTGATACTATGTTTTATAATATTTTTTAAAAAAATTCATTCATTATATTAAACAGCATATAAGATATATTCACATGTATTTGAATATGAGATCTATTAACTATGCAACAATTGTGCATTTGCCATGAGGATGTCTCAACAGAGAATATATTTGATGTTCTGTTCCGACATATTGACATAAATAAGTATGCAAGGACATTTTTCTACCTATTAGAGGTCAATTTTGTTTCAATTTGTTTCAGGCAATTGATTTCTTTTAGCTCCATGGCTTTGTGCACACAAGTGTTTACAGGTAGTATTAGGGTTTAACATATGAATTCAAGAATTTGCAGATTGGACACCATTTTAGTTCTATTGTTGAATCTCACAAAGGGGGTATATAATTATCTCTCGAACTGATATTACTGTGCAGTTCATTGATCACCACTACCTCTTGCGTGTATTTTGTGATTACCTCATGTTTTGTGCAACAATATATAGCGTTATCATGTCTCAAAAGGAGTGTCCCTTTCGCCTTTGTGTAGGTTTGGTCATAGTAGCTTTTTCTCTGGGCAATATATGTGAGGTTAATCATATATTATCTTTAGTATTCTAGTCTTTATATTTTGAAAAATTATATTGATAATTAAGGTAAAATAATTAGGTTCTTTTAGGCTAACGATATTAGTTTTATCGACAGAAACATAAAAACAAAGGGTAATAAAGAAATTTTAAGGTTAAGAGACGAACAATGTCGGTGGTGGTGGATGATGGCATCATTGGCATTGACATTAATACAGTTGTCTAGTTGCTTTCAACGACGATAAGTCTGCTCTCATCGTGATGCCACCCGCCTCCATGAGGAGCTTGTTGCTCGTCCCATATCACTCTGCATTTGCATTGATACTAACATAGTTGTCGAGTGACAACTGTCTCGATGTCAACGTAGATGGTGGTGGCCACCATGACGTCTATGTTGAAGATGGTGGTCGCATCGCCATTGAGCCATTGACCAAATCCCAACCTTGACCCAAAGCTGGGGTTGTCAGAGCTCTTATTGCTCCCATCAATCTCGAGCGACATATATATCAGTGTCAACGCAGATGCGAGTGATAGTGGGGGGAGCAATAGGAGCTCCAACGACCCTAGCTTTACGTTTGGGATCCACCCCTCGCTATCAAGCGACATCTGCATTAACGTTGACGTAGATGTGGGCGACATGAGCTCTGGCGACCCTAGCTTCAAGTCGAGGCTGGGATCCGCCCAACGGGTCAACTACGAGGCGTCCACCATCTTCACCATAGATGCTATATCAACCACCACCATTTGCATCAATGTCAATGCACTTGCCTCTCAACAACTGTGTTAGCGTTGATATAGATACATAGCAGCATGGGGTAGGGCCGGGGAGGGGTGTGGTGTGGGGGGTAGCAAGAGGTTTCACGACCCCAGCTTCGAGTTGAGGTTGGAATCCGCCCAACAGGCAACGGCGAGGTGGTCACCATCTTCGCCGTAGATATCATGACGACCATCACCATCTGCTTCGATGCTAACACGGTTGTCACTTGGTAACTGCATCAGCATTATCGCAAATATAGAGCGGGGCGAGTGACGATGAGGTTGGCAATGTGCTCCTCATGGAGGCGAGTTGTTGCAGTGAGAGCAGAGTTTATCGACGTCGGAGGCAGCCAAGCAACTGCGTCGACATCGATGGCAGCGATGTCGCTGTCCACCACCATCGACATCGTCTGAACATTAAAATTATCTTTTTACCATTTGTTTTCGTATTTTCGTCAATAAAATTGATATCGTTAGGATAAATGGATCTAGATATTTCACTATCATAACTATATGGATGCCAATGTAACTTCTTAAAATGTAAAATTCATGTCATGTGAATAATCTCAACTCATTTTTTTTTTCATCATATATCATTTAGAAGATGGATCAAAATTCCATCCAAACCATCCCTATAATCATGTTTAATAGATGTTTACAAGAAGACTTATTACCCATGATCTCCTGAATCTGCACAAAATATTGGAGACGATATACTCACAAGTTGAATAAATATTTGATTGTTGATGAGACGATACACAATACATCTGATGCAAGTAATCTGTGATACATAAGATGCACATAAGAGTTCCTTCCTTATTAGGACGAAAACATAAACACAGTTGAATTTATCATGGCACATCAATGTAGTGCCAATTTGCTTAGTTATAGTCCCCGTTCTAATCTCGAAGTTGTACCCATCGTATCAGTCATATAAGTTCTCTCATTAATCTGCCAAAATGGTTGGTCACCTGAAGATCCTTGCCCTGCTCAAAATCTCAAGAATAGTGCTATTTAGCTTCAACATAGTTTATTTTGACAAGTACATGTTCTACACATTCAAAAGCATCAAACTCATTTACCAATATAATTCATATTAAAAAACAGTCCATAAGGCAATTTGAGAGCCTATAATTCCATATAATGGGTGTGTAGAACATTCAATAAGATATTCAACAGGTTCAGTAACACCAAATTCAATCACCAACGTAATTCATATCAAACAGCAGTCCATCAGACATTTTAAGCAACTAGTCACATCAACCTCGAACATAGAAATTGCTGCTACAATGATATCTTCCCAAAATCAACAAGTTTCAGCTCATTATTCTTGAGCACAATTGGAAACTAGGAGTTCCAAGTACATAACTAATCCGTGAATGTTATTGATGCAAAAATAAATAACTAAATGCCAGATGCTGCCTCTTCAAAGTAACAAATGAAATCTCAGGAACAATTTACTGAAGCTGAAGCTTTTTGATCGATTCAATTTGCTTCGCGGGGTTCAGTCCCTTGGGGCAGGCATGAGCACAGTTCATGATAGTGTGGCAACGGTACAGTTTGAACTCATCATTTACAGCGTCCAGGCGCTCCTTTGTGTACTGATCCCGGCTGTCCTGTATCCACCTACACAACATAGCAAACCTTAGCCATGAAGAGCTTATCCAAGCAAAATTAAAGCTACCAAAAACTAATCTGAGTGCTCCCAGGATACAAAAAACAGAAAGAAAGACAACAAAAAGATAAAGGGTTGTACCGGTTGCTAATATTCATCAAAAAAGTAGTGCAATAATTCATGCCTCTTAACTCATTTTTTTCCTAGTCCATTTATTGTGTAAGACACATCATAACAGCACAAAACCAAACAATCTTCAGGGGATGAATCCTGAAACATATGACATATTCTAGGGATAACATGCTAATATATGTGGGTAAATGATAAGAAGTAATAGGAAATAAACTGCCACGTCTGCATTGCTATGATTGGATTAACAACAAACTTGAGTCGCTTATGACACACCGTCCATACAATAAAAGGTCTACAGAATATTATTCCCGGATACTTTAGTGCAAATAATCCAAATCAAGATCTTGCTAATAGGAAGATTCTCTCTCAAAGAAAATTTGGAGGCAAAAGAAATTTGCCAGAAATAAAAGATGGGATGATTGATTCCATTATTCTTTCAAGTTATAAATTTGTCTGGTTACTCTTTTTCTTGTATATGAGATTTATATAAAAGGAGTACTGGAAAACAATTACGACTCAATGAACTTTCAATACTATGTGCGAGTGGTGTAAGATTATCTTCTTCTCCTAAAGGCGGTCTGGATTTTGAGTGACTCCAAGATAAGCACCCATTTCCTATCTTTTACACCTTTATATAAACCCTATATTATATCCTGCTTTTCAAAGTCATTACGATATTTAACTTGTCTTTCTACTTATATTTACCAGTCTACAAGTAACACATCAACAATCCACTCAACGCCCTTGATGTTCAATATCTTCTTTTACCTTCCCAAACTGCTAAACATTTGGTGTCATTGGAGAGCAATGTTTCCTACTACATTGAAGACAAGTGAAGCAACTTCTAGAACCAACCAAAACTACAATGGGAGGATTTACTTCAACCAAAACTTCTTTTTATGATTGACTTCTTTTTCCTACGAATCAGACATGTTTACATCGAGTATTATTCTTTATTTGTTAATTTTCATTCCATGTCTAAGTCCTTTGAGCCCTAGTATCCTTTGTTAGCTCATAAAGGAATCCTCAAATATCATCTCTCGTTATCTCTCAGAAGATCCTAAAAAAGACAGCTAAAATTAGATAATTTCATGAAACTCAAAAATATGAATATAGTAAGCTTGTCTAATCTTCTTAAACCTTGACTGGAATGCAAATTCCTACCAATATAAACCACCAGGTTCACCTTCATTCTTGTTTCATATGAAGCAATAAATCACAAAAAACAATACTCATATGAATACAAAGAAACACGTGGAAACAACTTCTCGATTTATGTGAATAAAACGTGAGGAAAGAGAAACAAACTTCCAAACTTTAGAATTTCTAATACTGAAGGCAGCATATGAGCAAAAATGAAGCCCCTAGCCATACAACTAGCAATAAACTGAAGAATTAAAACAAAACATGACACCAATGAAAATGTATTGTGATAAAGCATTATAAAGATTATCCAAAACAATCTGGAAGATACCACACTGTAACAGAGAGAACCTATTCAAAACCCTAGACCAAGTGCACCGACATACAGAAGTTGTAAACCGATTCAAAACCCTACACCAAATGCACAGACATACAGAAGTTGTAAACCTATTCGAAACCCTACACCAAGTGCACATTGAATCCAAGCAGGAGGCATGATTAGCTGAAAAAAAAATGTAATGGTCATTTCGATATCAAATTTTTGGCCTTTTTTTTCTGTTCATCTACATATGATATCATCTAGTAAACGGATCTCTAGAGATCAACTCTTAAGTTGGAAAAATCATAAACTCCAATCTTCTCTTTCCTCCTCAAGGACACAAAAAAGAACAAACAAATTCATAATGATCATCAACCTTCCAACCCCATGATGGTCGGCCGAACATTACTCCTCAACATAATGATAACATGATACCAAACAACAAAAGTTCATCCATTTCACAATTAAACCAGTCACAGACCAATCAGCAAGCAGCAAACTTGAATCAACAAAGCTAACCCAAGCATTGTAAAAAGAATACAAATGAATCAACAAGTTATACCTGTGAGCATGGAGGAGGGCAGCTGGCCCAAGATAGGCCTCAGGATTCCACCAATAACTAGGGCAGGAGGTGCTGCAACAGGCGCAAAGAATACACTCGTACATCCCATCGAGCTTCGCGCGGTCCTTCTTGCTCTGTGGGATCTCCTTCGGGGGGGTGGGCGGCGGGTCCTTCCTCTTGAGCCATGGCTCCACGCTCTTGTACTGGTTGTAGAAGTTGGTCATGTCCACCACTAGGTCCTTGATCACGTACATGTGCGGCAAGGGCGTGATCGTCGTGGCCGCCGAGGAGGCCGGGATCTTGGTTAGGCAAGCGAGGCCGTTGTCACCGTCGATGTTCATGGCGCAGGATCCACAGATGCCCTCGCGGCAGGAACGGCGGAAGGTGAGGGAGGGGTCCATCTCGTTCTTGATCTTGATGAGGGCGTCCAGGACCATGGGGCCGCACTCGCCAAGGTCAATCTCGTAGTGCTGGAGTTGCGGCTTCTCCGGATGATCGGGGTTCCATCGGTAGATGGAGAAGGTCTTGGTGCGCTTGGGCTTAGCCGCGGCCGCCGCCGAGTCGGTCTGGGAGGAGTGGGGCTGAGCCTGGAGAAAAAGCGCTGCAGAGGAGGCGGCAGCGGTGGCCGGCGGGCCGTTGGTAGGGAGGAGGCCGCGCGCGACAGCGGATCCTCGGCGGAGGAGAACCCTCGCAGCGGCCATATTTGAGATGCGATCGCCGAAACAGCAAGCGAAATAGGTGACAGAGAAGGAAATAGTAAATGGGAATTTGGAAGTGTTCTTCTCACAACCAGTCCATATAGTGGAACGGCATGTCGGTCACGATAGAATACAAATAATGTTTCTACTATTTACATGAGAACCCTTTGTTCACCAGTCTATTATCATAGATCGCTATACTACTCAGTATTCAGGCCCAGTTTTTTTGCCCAATAAAATAAAAGGTACAATCGTGAGTATGTTTCGGTCGTGGAAGTAGTTTTTTGAAATAAAAATCTGAAGAGGACGTCTTTGGGAGGAGTGGCGTGCAGGGGTTCCACAAATGAATATTGTTATACGTGGCATCATACAATTGGTTGACAGAAGAGGGTTCCGCTACTAATTACGGCCACCCGCTGTTCCACTACGTGGTTACTCGAGATCGAGCCCAAGTGGAACCCACAATGGTCCACCTCTGCATACATATGCGGTAGAAAACTAGGTAACTTGAATAACTAATTAGAAGATCTTCCTAAATCATGATCATTCATATGTGACGGTGGTAATAATAAATCAAAATAAATGATTTTATAAAAAAATATTGTATTTTACTTGGTCAAAGTTTCTAATATGGGTTTGTGGGCTTGCTGTGCGCACGTGGCGGTTGAGTGTGCCTGCCACATGTTCGCTGTTAGAACCAGTTAGGGTTGGCCCATTGTAGTAGAGATCACGTTTCATCATCTCAGTAGGATAAAAGCATGCGGAGATTCCACAGTAGATAATTTCTTGGGGGATCAATGATGACTCATTAGATGACAAGATCATGAGGTCCAAAAAGGCCTCAGATATCTTATCATACGTCGAGAGAACAAATGAAGTTTCATCATCTCACTTATGAATGAATCTTTATATTTTGAAGTGATGAAAATGGCAATCCCTTTGAGGCAGTGCAAACTTCCTTTTACATACGAAACATTATACATCTTCGAGATGAGAAAGGAGATGTCGGATTGCCAGATATGGAACAGCCAAAACCAACATTGATATAAACATATCAGATAAAGCAGGCTCCGAACAAAACATACACATCATCTGATCAGGATTCATATTACACAAGACTTGAAACAGAATAAGAATAATTCTTGAGGAGAAGCTCAAGGCCATAACCCATCCCACCAGACAGACCTTAGAGAGCGAAGCCTTCCACCTCGGTGTAGGCAAACCGATCAGAGACGAGAATGATCGAAAGCAAAAGATTCTGTGACTCACTTGTACATATAGATATCATTGGCTTCTTCCGGAGGAGGAAGAAGAAGCTGCATGAAAGAGAGAGAGAGAGAGAGGTTACTGACGGCATGTTCTTTTGCGTCTCCAAGAGAATGCTTAAACCCCAAAATTACATGAGAAATAAAGAAACTAAATGAGCATCTTTCAATATTTGTAGTAAAGTAAATGAGGTAATAAATTGTACAATGAAAAAAGTGGATGCTATTACAAAACCTCTAAACTAAATAATTGAATGACAAATTTGACTCACCTATCAGTCATTAAGCAGAGGACTGGGAGTGATCCAAATAGGAGGTGGCATGTTTAGACGAGCATCAGAGTGCAAAATATATGAGAAGGTATTGTTCTCCAAATCATAGACGATTACATCCCGGCATTTCTCTCTATGGTGATCATTCCACCACCAGAAGTCATTAGTGAAATAGATGTGGTTTGGTTTCAACTCAGGTAAGTCTTTACAAGAGAGACAAAGAGATTGGTTGTTGCATAAAAAGATAGCGTATTCTCCCAAATTCTTCACCTGTTTTATCAAAATAATCAAGTTTGATATCAGAAAGGTTCAAAGCCTAGCATGATAAACATTTTAATTAAATGACCAACCATTCCTAAAGTTTCATGAAACTAAATCCAAAGTTCATGCTGCAAGGCGGATAGATTCAATGAT